ATCTATAGTAAACAACACCGAACTCCATCTCACATGGGCAAATTATACTGTGGACCGCGGTCAATTATTAAATATACACTGTAGTTTTATTTCAACACAACTTTAATATTATTGGACAATATACACTCCAATATGTGAAATTGTTATTCAATTTTATTTTGTATACACTGCAGTTTCATTTCAATTCAATTACAGTTTCATTTGATAATATAATAAAAATAATACGTGAGACAGTATAAATTTAAATACACTATAATGTCTATCGTCTTGGATCATGGTCCACAAAATTTTGTGGACCGCGATCCACAATATAATTGTGGATCTCACATGGCCATCCAACATTTTTTAAGCGGCTTTATTCTAATATATTTGCTTTATATCAAATTTTAATATTATTTTTTCATAGCCCTTTTTGAATTCATTTGAACTTTACACTCACTCAAAAAAATTTCTAAATTCACCCCTGCAGGAATCACTGTTGTGGCTGTGGGTATCACAAGTACAGCTCTGGGGTAAGCTACAGAGCTGGCAGATGTAACACAATTCATATTTACTGAATTTGAAAACATTAATTGGTCTAATAATCCAGCTTGAAATTCTTGACAAAGAGCTGGCAGATGTAACACAATTCATATTTACTGAATTTGAAAACATTAATTGGTCTAATAATCCAGCTTGAAATTCTTGACAAAGAGCTGGCAGATGTAACACAATTCATATTTACTGAATTTGAAAACATTAATTGGTCTAATAATCCAGCTTGAAATTCTTGACAAAGAGCTGGCAGATGTAACACAATTCATATTTACTGAATTTGAAAACATTAATTGGTCTAATAATCCAGCTTGAAATTCTTGACAAAGAGCTGGCAGATGTAACACCATAAAAAACATGTACTAACAAATCCCCCTCAACATACTCTTCAGTTGTCCATTAACATACTCTTCTGTTTGCTCCATTGCAATATTCATGTATCCATCTAAACACGCTAAAATGCCTGCAAAATACAGAATGGTAAAAGCAATGTATGAATATAATGTATCTTCGCGTACTAGTCCAATAACACAAGCAAATACGTACAATGCAAATGGCCTTATCACTCGAGCAAAACAAACAAATCCTTCACGACAGACTTTTGGATGTAAACAACAGTTGCACTCTTTCATATCAATGATTAGGAAATTTTAACGAAAAGAGAACAACTCTTCCCGTCATACTCAACAGAAATATTATTGTGTCCACATATTTCTCCATCACAAAGAATAGGTAATTTCTCATTGAGTATTGTGGTAGTTCCGTTGTGTTTTCTCTTACTCAAATACAGAAACCACGAGGCTCAAAAATGAATGGAAAAAATGTGATGAAGGTGCATTAGCACATGTTAACTGTTAAGTGCACATAATGCAACAGTGCTTTCCTGCATAGAATGCAAAACTGATATTTGGCTACCTTTTTTTAGAAAGGTAGTACTAGGACTAGGAGCAATATCATGGCAACATCTCTAACAGATTGAAGCTGTTATCTCCTAATATGAGTGATATAATGTTATCTTTTTTTCTTTTGAAACAAGTAGTCAGAGTGTAGATGATCAAAAATGGACCATGGAAGAAACGAACCTGAGTCTCACTTTGGCCTTTCTTAGGCTTGTAAGTCTTTTGGGTTATTTTTAATAGGTTGTTTTAACAGTAGTAAAATCTTATTTCCAAGTTATTCTTTGGTCTTCATGTCTTCTTCATGACAAGCATAAAAGTAACAAACTCACTACAATGCTTCTCTTCAAATAAATAGTCAGAAATAATAAAGATACCAAAGTAAATCGAAGATACACCAAGTAGAGAGCACAAGTGACCAACCTTGATAATCAACAACTGAGTTCAATTTGACGACCACAGGACGTCCACGAATAGATTTTAGAAAATCAGCTGGTGTTTTAGTGGTTGTTGAGCCTCTCTCCCCTGCTGCAGCTCCACTCATCTTGTCTTAGATTTTGCTAATTCTGTACCTAAACCAATATTTAAAATACCAATACAATCGCATATTCACTTTAGAATCCAGTAAAGGCACACAAACTGTGGCTTCCCCAGCCTGCATTATTTCTAAAATATAAATCCCTTCATAACAACATTTTGAGTACTAGATGCAAGTTGCCATTACTGAAGGTGAATAGAAAAAATATTACATAGCATACTAGTATAAGACATGCCCCAACTTCTAAAATATAAATCCCTTCCTAACAACTAACATTTGACATGATCGTGATGCTTTCAACAGTAATGGTTCCTGTTGGGCATTGAGCCCTTGAAGGTGTTTCTACTAATCACGAGTTCCAGTTGTTGTAACTACCAATAGTCTCCACAAGAGCATTTTCCATCCTTGAAATGATGGAAACGCTTGTTATCCCTAACAATCAACTCTCTCCCAACAATTCTGGACATGATCTTGATGGCATTATGACAATCACCACAGACACGTAAGTTCTTGATTATACGCAAAGGTGTTCTAGCTGGGGTACTAATGAGACCATATGCAATGGCTAAGCGCTCGCTATGATATAGCAAGGCCTGCTCCTTCGCCTCTTGATCAATATCATGAAGAACATATCTGGTATCAGGCACATAGGCCTGCTCTTTCATTGCAGCCCTCATCTTCTCTTCATCCTTGTATAGAGTGGGACTACGATACTCGGCTAGCCTACTTTTTCCTTCTAGCATATTGACTGGCTGCGTCTTTGGAGGAGGTGGAGTAATTTTACTACAAGAACCTGACTAGCCCTCCACAATTGCTCAACACGGTCTTCAAGGTCAATATCTCCATGAATGCGAGCAAAATTCATCAGTGCCTCCCAGACAGCAACTGTGGGCTCAAAAGGAAGTTTTTCAATGAATTCCTCAGCCTCTCTAAGATGCCCACATTTTGCAAGAACACCTAACAGCCCCAAATAATGTTCAATCTGAGGTGCAATAATTCCATAATCAGTCTTCATGACCTCAAAATGTATGAATGCCTCATCTATTGCATCTCCCACAATCTAAAAGCCTACAACTACAAACACCTCAAAGGGTTTTGGGTTATTCTTAATAGGTTGTTTAAACAGTAATAAATTCTTATGTCTAAGTTATTCTTTGGTCTTCATTGTTGGTTTCTGGTGAGCGAAAGCAGCAACTTTGAGGATGGTTTTTAACGAAGATGGAAACGGAATAAGGTTTCTGTGTCGTGTTCTTAGAACACTACCTTAAAAACCTTTACGACCAGGGAATCGCAAGTTTTCGACAGGTTCAACACAGAACTGCAGAGCTCAGGAGTGGTTGCGGGAATTTTCGTTAGTGTCTTCTGGAATGATGGGGAAAGGTGGTTTATATACTGGAAGCTATAACCGCCCATCCCCTCTCATCCATAAAACTATCGCGCAAAGAGAGGAGTGTGGACAAGACTAGCGCCTTGTGCGCTCACGTTCTGTAGAACAGAAAGAAGAGCGGACAAGGTGACTAGTTATTCCACGAAAATAGGGGGCGGCGGCACGCGCATGGTTTCCCCCTATTTCCCTCCATAACACTTCAAACCTTGTAAAAGGAGTTGGTGTTTAAAAGGTGAGAAAAGATGGGCTAGCTTTCCAATGTGGGATACTTGTAAAAAGACAATTACAAAGCTTTTGCCTCATAAATGTTCCCAACAATCCCCCACACATTTCATGGGGTAAAGCTATACCCAAGAATACCTGAGCTATCACAAGAGCTAATTTACATGTCAGTGTACGGAACTTGAACTGCCATGAAGTGACATTTAAGTAACTTGTCATCCGAGAGTGAATTGGATCTTGAACTCGTCAGTTTACTGAGTTTTGAACTTATATGCACTTGTTAACTCTTTAAAGAGTCCCTGTTTGTCTAGCTCAACCTAGACATCAACTCTGTCAAGTCTATCTCGATATAGACCACCCATAACGGGCTACAGAGTACTTACTGTTTTTACAGTTTTCCTTGTAGTAAGTTTTCAGTGAGTTTATTTGTCCTCAAAGTGGTCCATCACTCATTGCTTACATCATTGGGTTTCAAACCCATCTCCCTTGAAGTATCAAGGATGGCTTTCTTGTTTAAGCCTTTTGTGAAAGGATCTGCTATATTCCTTTCGGATCTCACAAACTCCATTGTGATCACCCCATTTAATATTAGTTGCCTTACAGACTCATGTCTGACTCTTATGTGTCTTCTCTTTCCATTATAGACACTATTTTGTGCAACACAAATGGCGGTTTGTGAATCACAATGCATAAGAACAGCCGGTGCTGGACACCCCCACAACGGCACGTCTGCCAGTAGGTTTCTCAGCCACTCAGCTTCTTGGCTTGCCAGGTCCAGAGCTATGAATTTGGCTTCCATAGTTGACCTAGCAATGCATGATTGTTTGGTTGATTTCCATGAGATGGCTGCTCCACACATAGTGAACACATATCCACTAGTTGAGCTTACATCATCACTATCATTTATCTAGTTTGCATCACAAAACCCTTCTAGCACTGCTGGATGTCCTCTGTAATTAAGACCCCAGTCCACGGTGCCTCTCAGGTATCGTAGTACTCTTCTCAAAGCATCCCAATGCGAAGTACTAGGGCTGTGAGTATAGCGACTGAGTTTGTTCACTGCAAACGCAATATCAGGTCTAGTGTAATTCATTAAAAACATTAGACTCCCAATTATTTTTGCGTACTCATCTTGAGACACACTATCTTCTACATTTTTCGATAGTTTGATACTTGGATCAAAGGGGGTTTTAGCCGGAGTTACCTCATAACTGTTAAACTTCTTCAAAAGTTTCTCAGTTTAATGGCTTTGTGACAGCAAATAGCCATTACCAGTCTTTGTGACTTTTATTCCCAGAATTACATCGGCTTCCCCTAAGTCCTTCATTTCAAACTTGTTAGAAAGAGTTCTTTTAGTCTCATTTATAGCCTCAAGACTTGAGCTAAAGATCAGCATGTCATCTACATATAGACATATTATCACTGTGCTTGATTCTATCTCTTTAGAGTATAGGCACGCATCTGATCTATTAGTACAATAACCCAAATCTAGCAATGTTTTATGAAATTTTTCATACCATTGTTTCGGGGCTTGTTTTAAGCCGTATAGAGACTTCTTAAGTCTGCATACTTTCCCTTCTTGTCCTGGATCAACACAGCCAGGAGGTTGTTCCATGTAGATTTCTTCTTCCAGTTCACCATTTAAAAAGACTGTCTTTACATCCATTTGATGAACTATCAACCTGTGAGAAGAAGCCAGAGCAAATAGAACACGAATGGTTGCTATTTTTGTTACTGGTGAGTATGTATAGAAATAATCCTCACCGAATTTTTGTGTGTAGCCTTTGGCGACTAGTCTGGCCTGGAATCATTCGATTGACCCATCTGGTCTCAACTTTCTTTTGAAAATCCATTTACAGCCAATTGGTTTACACCCTTTAGGTCTATTGACCAGTTCCCAAGTGTGGTTAGACTGAATGGAGTCCATCTCACTTTTAACTGCTTCTTTCCACAATATGGAATCTACTGAGCGCATTGCTTCTTCGAAGCTCTTGGGCTCTTCTTCTAGGACTAATTGACATATGAGTTGATCGCAAAGTTCATTTAGATCTTTCAACTCAGTTACATATGTTAAGAAGTCAGAGCCAAAGTTCTTCTCAACTCTAGGCCTTTTGGTTCTCCTTGGCTCCTCAGAGTTAGTTGGAAAACTGGGAAAGATATTCTGCGTATCTTGAATTCTAACAACAGGTGAATCATTAGCATTCTTTAACGGAAATACGTGTTCAAAGAATATGGCATCTCTAGATTCACACATAGCACGGTTTTCCGAACACATAAATCTGTATGTTGCACTATTCTTGGCATACCCTACAAACACGGCATCTAACGTTTTAGGTCCCAAGTTTGGCCTTTTGAAGGATGGTAATCCTACTTTGGCCAAACATCCCCATACCTTTAGGTATTTGAGATTTGGAGCGTGCCCTTTCCAAAGCTCGTAAGGAGTTTTTTCAAATCCTTTGTGCGGGACCCTGTTTAGGATATGGTTTGCTGTTAGAACAGCTTCTCCCCACAAGGAGTCTGGTGCACCAAAACTGATTAACATTGCGTTTATCATTTCTTTGAGTGTTCTGTTTTTTCTCTCGGCAATGCCATTCTGTTGCGGAGTATAAGGGGTAGTTATTTCATGAATAATGCCCGAGGATTCACACAGAGATCTCAAAGAATTAGATTCATATTCTCCCCCTCTATCGGATCGAAGTCGTTTAATTTTCTTGTCTAACTGATTTTCTACTTCAGTTTTAAAGACTATAAATTTCCCTTCGGCTTCATCTTTTGTTCTTAGTAAATATACTTTTGCGAATCGGGAGAAGTCATCAATGAATGTAATATAATATCGTTTTCCACCTCTACTTTCAGTAGTTTTAAAGTCAGCTAAATCAGTATGAATTAATTCTAATACAGATGTAACACGAGAATTCACATTTGAAAACGATTTCCTGGCAAACTTTGCTTCAGCATAGATTTCACATTGTGTACATGTATCATTAGATATATTTGAAAACAAATTCATGCTTCTCATTCTGTTTAAACATTTTGTGCCAACATGTCCTAACCTACCATGCCACATATCTAAAGAGACAGTAATATAAGCAGGAGAAGATGCATTCTTATTAACGTTTTGAACATGCGAAGCTGGGATGAGGTTTTCAGAACCAATTACATCAGAGTGCTTTCTAACTACCATGACATCTAGCACAAAAAGCCCTCCACGTAAATATCCCTTACCCAGAAAGACTCCACGTCTAGTCAAGACCATTCGGTCAGACTCAAAGACTAGTTTAGTTCCGGCCTTATTAAACGGGCCTACAGAAATCAAATTTCTACGCAGGGTGGGAACAAAGAGCACATTCTGTAAAATTATATGCTTCCCAGACCCAAGCATTATTTCTACTTTTCCTCTACCACATACCTAGGATACGCTGGAGTTTCCCATGAACACTTGTTCACTTCCATTGATTTGTTCGAACTCCTTGAAGAGATCTTTATTGTTGCAGAAGTGGCGTGATGCTCCTGTGTCTACGACCCACTCGTCTGGATCTTCTACCGTGTTAGCCTCAGTTATTACTGCTGCAAATTTTTCTGAGTTTTCTTCGTCTTCCACTATGTGAGCTTGGCTCTTAGGCCCTTCAGCGGATGGTTTTTGAGTGTTCTGGCTCGTGCCTCCTTTGCGGTGATAGCATTGGGCAGCATGATGGCCACTTTTACCACAAACGTAGCATTCCCCAGAACCTTTCCCTTTTTTCTGAATTTGGCCACTTTTGACACGGTTGTTGCTGTTGTTGGATTTGGAATTTTTCCTTTGGTTTCTACTGTTATTACCTGCTTTTGGCTTATTATAGCCTGCATTAGTTTCAACAACATTTGCTTTAAAATTACCTGTAGGAGTTACAGCATTGTGAACCAAACGGTTCTCTTCTTCAATGTTGAGACTGCTGATAAGCTGTTGCAGGGTATAAGTACGTCGATCGTGCTTCATTTTGTTCTTAAAGTCTACCCAGGACTCAGGAAGCTTGTCAATTAGTGAATCACACAGAACAACATCATTGACTTCACCTCCTTCTGCCCTCATATCTGCTACGAGGTTCTCAAATTCATGTACCTGATCAACAATTGGTTTGGTATCTGTCATCATGAAGTGCAGCCAACGTCCAACTGCATACTTCCTTCTTCCTGCATCGTCACCGCCATACTTTTCCTTAAGTAGGTCCCAAATTAGCTTTGCTGACTTATGCTTAGCAAACATGTCAAACAAAGGATCCGAGATGCGCTGAAGTATGGCAGTGCGAGCAGTTTTGTTGTCCTTTTCGTATTTCGCACGAACAGCCTGGGATACTGAGGATGGCTCTGTTGATGTCGACATGGGATCTGAGGACACCGCTGACGTTGCATTAGGATCAGTAGAGTCATCAGAAGCCATTACCTGAGTATCCTTCTGGGCAGATGAAGCTGGGGACTACACATCAGACATGGTGAATTTTGCAGGATCTTCGATTATCACATAATCGACGTCTTTTGACTCTAGTAGCATCATCAGTTTTGCGGACCATCTTCTGTAGTTCAGACCTCCAGTGAGAGGTTGGATGGGCGTGACATCAGAGGCGTGATTTGTCTCTTGAGCCATTGCTGAATTCGCAGGTAAAGGTTTTTAATTGTTGGTTTCAGGTGAGCGAAAGCAGCAACTTTGAGGATGGTTTTTAACGAAGATGGAAACGGAATAAGGTTTCTGTGTCGTGTTCTTAGAACACTACCTTAAAAACCTTTACGACCAGGGAATCGCAAGTTTTCGACAGGTTCAACACAGAACTGCAGAGCTCAGGAGTGGTTGCGGGAATTTTCGTTAGTGTCTTCTGGAATGATGGGGAAGGGTGGTTTATATACTGGAAGCTATAACCGCCCATCCCCTCTCATCCATAAAACTATCGCGCAAAGAGTGGAGTGTGGACAAGACTAGCGCCTTGTGCGCTCACGTTCTGTAGAATAGAAAGAAGAGCGGCTATAACCGCCCATCCCCTCTCATCCATAAAACTATCGCGCAAAGAGTGGAGTGTGGACAAGACTAGCGCCTTGTGCGCTCACGTTCTGTAGAATAGAAAGAAGAGCGGACTAGCGCCTTGTGCGCTCACGTTCTGTAGAATAGAAAGAAGAGCGGACAAGGTGACTAGTTAGTCCACGAAAACCACACTGCGACGCGCGCGAGCCGGGAGGCGGCGGCAGCGGCGCGCGCGTGGTTTCCCCCTATTTCCCTCCATAACACTTTAAACCTTGTAAAATGAGTTGGTGTTTAAAAGGTGAGAAAAGATGGGCTAGCTTTCCAATGTGGGATACTTGTCAAAAGACAATAACAAAGCTTTTGCCTCATAAATGTTCCCAACATTCATGTCTTCTTCATGACAAGCGTAAAAGTAACAAACTCACAACAATAGTTGGTTTCTATTCAAATACTTATTACTTATATGGAATAATGTAATACTATACTTTTATATTTTGACCTAAAAGTATTACATTTTTCATTAATAGTATTAAATTTTCTTTTATAAGTGCAACATTACTTATAATAAGGAAAATATAATACTTTTAATTTAAAAAAAAAAAAGTAATATTTTTAATTTAAAATATAAAAGTATTACATTTGTCTTCAAAAGTACTATGTTTTTTCCTTATAAGTAACAAACATTTTATTCCTGATTTAGTATTACATTTGCTAATATAAGTACTACATATGCATATTGACTCGACCCGTCTCATGGATAAGAGTATGTGAGACGGTCTCACACAAGTGTGACCCTCTCTGTTATATTTGTTTACTCCATTGTTATATTTTTGATTGGTTAATAAAAGAGATCAGTCATTATTTTTTTTCATTCATTTTAAACAGTTATATATTTCCATTCATAAAGTATACCTAGTTACCTTGCTACGGTTTTTAATTTCAATTTATACCTTGAGATAATATTGCTACATGAAGAGCATTTCGACCGGAGAGTCCAACATAAGTAGCTGATTCCATTGCATTTCACCATTACTGTAGCAAGCTAATTATAACTATGTATCAAATTAAAGATTGTTGATGTTACGGTAATCTCAGCCAAGTAGGTTACGTCGCTGACTTTGTAATCACAAAATTACAAATTTAATTCCTAGTCTGCTTATTTGGTCTTCTTGATTTTAACCGGGCTATGGTGTGTAATGAAGTATGCAGAAGTTACAGTCGGTGGAGGAAGATATAGGTTCAGACAGAGGAGGGAGGAGACTGCTTCGTATTTTCCCTTTAATTTCAAGACAAGATTGTTGTTACAATCAAAGTTCTAATTCATTTCATATTAAGTATGTACTTTCAATTAGATGGGTATGCGACAGATGTGGTTGATGAGTAATTAAATAGTGATTTCCAACTGGCATTAATATGCATGTAAACAATTCATTAATTAATATACAAAGACACCGACTAGATGACATTTAAGAAGCTTTAAAAAAACCTATACTACAATTCGTTGTTGAGAACATGAACTCAAATATTAATATGCGAATTATCTGTTAAAATACTAGTATATATACTGATGAAGTACAACACAATTTAGCAAGTGACTATGCATGTCACACTATTCATGGGTGAATGTCCACACTGATCTATCAGTTACTCCGTATTAAATAACGTTTTCCATGGTTGTATAGATGTGTATGATTTCATTATTTGACCACATAATGTGATCATATCTTTGATTAACAAATCAACAACAGCTACCGCTTGTTAAAACATTCTACCTATATTGTGTATTGCGATGGATCCTAGTGTCAATTTCTATGTTGGTTGGAGGTTGGTGAAGAGTCCAATAGTCCAGCACCAAAGTAGTTAGGGAATTGTTGAGCTAAGACTTGAAGAACTAAATAAGTCCAATACACTGCTTTTTAAAAAAAAAATGTTGTGGTATAAGAAAATAAAGTTTGGTCTTCATTATAAACTATAACTTTGACGTAGTAATAAGCGTTGTTTGATATAACAAGCAAGTGGTATGAGAGTCAAGTCACGGGACAGCCTGAGCAGCTAGCTAGCTGCATGATATGTATCTCATCGTTTTATCTCCTTCTGAGGGAAACCAATTTGAATCTCCCATTTGACAATAAAATATTTTGTATCTGAATTTGGTAACTGTAGATTGCGTCCAATAGCTGCTTGCAACTCATCTTTAAAATTTGACTTTCAAGGCTCTTTCTTGAAATTAAAAGGCAAGTATCTGTTAGAAAAATACATAATACATGCAACTAAAGCATAAAAAATAAAAAATAAATAAAAGCTTTCAATGATTTTACGTTAATTGGGAGTAGAAAATCATTACTCTTGAAGCGTGCTTTAACGAATAGTCAATTCATTGAACCGTCCAAACATCCAGTAGACGGTGAATTCGATGTTGAAAGCACCACTGTGGTTGATGGTGTACGATAAAGGGATGCAAGAGTTATTGATTGTGATCTACCAAAACCAATCAATTCCTCTTATAAAATTAGAGTTCGTTGGAGATTTATCTTGAGGAAAATCTTTTTATTCTTTCTTCTTCTTATTCATCTCTTTGTGCCTTGGAGTGGTGGAAAGATAATAGTGAAAAGTTTAAAGTTTTATCAAAGATGGATGTTGATATACTAGTTATTCCTATTTCAATTTTTAAGTGAAGCATCTGAATCCACATTTAGTGCCGGGGGAAGGGTGATTGATGAATATCGTGCAAGATTAAATGAACAATCTATTGAAGCTCTTATTTGTGATGGGGATCGGATTGGTTTCATAACAATGAAGAAAAACAAAAGGTAAGAATCTTATTTTATATTACTACTTATTACTTTATAGTTATGATTTATGAATTATGAGCACGTTGAACTTGTAATGGACTTAATTATTTATTCTCAATTTATTTTTCATTGTGTAGGAGGATTCTGAACAAGAGGAAATTATGCTGAAGTCGTGACTTGTTTTCATTTTGAAAGCTATTATGTTTACATTGTTGTTGTTGATGGATTTTCAAGACATTATTAAACTTATGTTAGATTTTTGTATTATGGACTTATGATTTTGTTGTTGTTAAACTTGTGTTGGATTTTTGTATTATGAACTTGTGGTTATTAAATTTGTATTTATTGAATTTTGTATTATATGAACTTCTAGTTATTAAACTTGTGTTGTTGGATATTGTATTATGAACTTATGATTTTTTTCATTTTATGGTCATTGATTGATTGTAATTTTATAATATGATACATGGATTTGTGATAATATATTTATGCGGTGTGAGTTATGTATTAGGTTTTTTTTTTTTTTTTTTTTTTTTTTTTTAAAAATTTTTACATGTATGCGTTAAAAGGCTTTAACATGTAGACCTTAAATAGTAGGACCTACTTTAACGCCTTTTTAATGGCCTACATATTAAATAGACGGCAAATTATGTTGTGGAACCGTGTCTACCTTGCAAGGTGGACAGGGTTCCAAAATAGTGTCGTTTTGGTGGAAAACGATGCCGTGTCAATTATAAAAAAAATTGATTTCTTTCTCCGTTAACGGCGTTTGTCTTCCGCCAAAACTCTATATTCACAATTATAGAAGTCTATGTTCATAATTACTGAATTCTATGTTCATAATTTTTTAACTCCATATTCACAATGATTAATTGAACTCTATATTCACAATTACAGAACTCTATGTTCATAATTATAGAACTCTATGTTCATAATTTTTTAACTCTAGAAGTCTATTC